ATTTTCTCACCATTGTCGACGTCTACACCCGCATGACTTGGGTGTACGTGCTGGCCAAGAAGAGCGACGTGGCTGAAACGTTGAAGACGGATTGGTTCCCGATGGTGGAGCGGCAACAAGACCGTCTAGTCAAGTCAATCCGCACCGATCGAGGGGGAGAGTTCCTAAGCAAGGAGTTTGGGTTGTGGCTGAAGAAGAATGGTATTCGGCACTCCCTCACCATGCCATACTCCCCTGCAATGAACGGCATCGCCGAGCGAGCGAACCGCACAATCACGGAGGCGGCACGCGGGTTGCTCATTGAAGCCGGGCTACCCGACTATTTCTGGCCTGATGCGGTGCGGAGCGCGTGTGTGGCCAAGAACAGAGCCTTGACTCATGTGGGAGCAGACAAATGGGTGCCCTATGTGGAGTGGCTAGGAAGGAAGCCAAAGGTGGATATGCTTCGGGTGTTCGGGTGCATGTGCATGGCGCTCGTGCCTAAGCATCTTCGGCACAACAAGCTTGGTGCCAAGGCGGTGTGGGCCGTGCACTTGGGCATGGCTCAAAACAGCAAGGGATGGCTTCTTTGGGACCCATTCACCAAGAAGTTCTTGGTGAGCAGGGACTGCAAGTTCATGGAGAACTTCATGTACAAGGATTGGAAGGCGGAGAATGAGGCGAAGATAGGCGTGCGGTTTGGGGAGGTGAAGAGTTCCGGTTTGGAGCATGTGGAGCTGCCTTTGGAGCTGAGCAGCGGCAGCACAACCACAAGGCAATCCTCCCTTGTGAATGGGGGAGAGGAGGCCAATGATGCAGAGGAAGAAGAGGAGGAGGTGCAGCAAGTGAGCGAGCGTGCACCGTCACTCCCTTCCCGTACTACGAATGCTCCACGGATTCGAGCCACACCGCAGCAACGCCAAGGCCTTCAAGTCCCTGCAGCTGAGGAGGAAGGAAGGGGGAAGAGGAGAGTTCAACCCCCTAATAGGCTGACCTATGATGTGCCGGGAAAGCAGGGCAAGACAGCCCTGGCCGGAGCGGCAATGATGGTCGGAGACGACGAGGAGAGTGACTACGAGGAGTGTGCCTTCGCGTTCTTCTCTCCGGTGGAGATGCCGGGAGAACCAGCAACTCTCAAGGAGGCTTTGGAGAGTAGTGATGCTGAGGAGTGGAAGAAGGCCATGGAGAGTGAGCTGAAGAGCATCGAGGAGAATGACACGTTTGAATTGGTGGAGCTACCGGAGGGGCGTACGGCGATAACGTCCAAGTGGCTCTTCAAAATCAAGTCGGATGCCGACGGCAAGATCGAGCGCTACAAGTCTAGGCTTGTAGCCAAGGGGTACCAGCAGAAGGAGAAGGTGGACTTCAAGGAGCTGTTTGCCCCTGTGGTGAAGCCGACGACGCTGCGAACCCTATTCGCGGGAGCCGCCATCAAAGGATGGGTAGTAAAGCAAATGGACATCGTAACGGCATTCCTTAACGGCATCCTTGAGGAGGAGATTTTTATGGCGCAGCCAGAGGGGTTTGATGATGGTAGTGGCAGAGTGTGGAAGCTGAAGAAGGCCCTCTATGGGCTGAAGCAGGCCCCTAGGCAATGGTACATGAAGCTGCGCGAAGTGTTGGAGGGGATCGGCTTCACTCCCTCAACGGCCGATCACTCCTTGTTCATGCTTGGCGAGGGGGAGCAGAGGAGTTTCATGGTGGTTTATGTGGATGACATCCTCATTTTCTCACCCTCTTCTGACCTTGTGAAGGAGGTGATGCTGAAGCTTCAAGACAAGCTCAAGTGCAAGGCCCTTGGTGACGTGAGCTTCTACCTTGGGCTCCACATCGAACGAGATGTGGAGAAGCGGTGCATGCGGGTGCATCAACGAAAGTACCTGGAGGCATTGGCTGCCAACTTTGGGCAGAGTGAAGGCCATGTGGCTACACCCTTTCCCTTTGGGTTCAAGTGTGTGAAGGGACCAGAGGAGGAGAGCGTTGGTGAAGAGGAGAGGCGCCGATTTCACTCGTTGGTGGGCAGCCTCATGTATGCGGCGGTAAACACCCGACCGGACGTCGCGTTTGCTACCGGGCAGCTGGCTAGAGTTGTGCAATGCCCTAATGAGGAGCAGGTAGCAGCTGGAATGAGGGTGGCCAAGTATCTTGGCCAAACACCGACCGTTGGGCTGCAATACTCGGCGGCGGCACAAAGGCGCCAAAAGGGCGCGGATGGTGTTGAACCCGGGCGTTTGTTCCTCACCGCCTACTCGGATGCTTCATATGCATCAGAACCAGAGGACATGACAAGTGTGGGAGGCTTCATATGCTGTGTTGGTGGAGGCCCAACTGCTTGGGAGAGCAAGAAGCAGGTTGACCAAGCTTTGAGCTCGGTGGAGTCCGAATACATGGCACTCTTCCGTGCCGTACGGGAGATTGTGTGGCAGCGGCATTTGTTGGCTGAATTGGGGGAGGAGCAGCAAGGACCTACCCCACTGTACTGTGACAGCCAGGGTGCCATTGCTCTTGCTAAGAACCCTGTGTTGCATGGACTCACGAAGCACATGAGGGTGAAGTGGCATTGGACGAGGAGCATGGTAACCGCGGGTGAAGTTGAGTTGCGCTACGTGAAGACCACGGGGCAGCCGGTTGACATGATGACCAAGAGGCTGGTGGAGTAGCAGCATTGGAAGTGTTGCAAGCTGGCTGGGATGGCTCTGAACTGAGAGAGCAACATATCCTAAGGCCAACAATCCGAGGGGGAGTTTGTTGGTGCAACCCTACGGTTTGCACTCGGCTTGTTGTCCGTGTGCGTGAATGTGTGTGTGTATGGAATGGTATGAGGGCATGGGATAATATATATTTCATGCTTATAATTGTGTGTGAATGTTGAGTCATGATGTCGAGTGTGTGTGTCGAGTCAATAGCGAGTTATCGCTAGACGCGTGTTACGCGGTCGTTTGTGTCTCGCGCGCGGTTTCTATTTTGTCGTGCGCGGTTTCTATTTTGTCCGGTGTCGAACGTTCGGCGTGTCGCAGGTGTGTGCAGCAGACCCATCAAGAACTCAAGGATGAGTTTGTGATGAAGAGCCCGAGCCTTGGTGTCAAGCCTCAAGTGATTTCGAAGCTTGCCAAAAGGGTACACCTCAAGATATTGAAGATAGTTACATTACTTTGTGTAGTGTAACATTTCACTTGGTGTAGGCCCTAGTGAAGGGTAGTTTCGAGACCCTTCGTGGTTGGGGACAGTGTGGCACTGTTCCACATCACTGTACCTCGGCTCTTGGGGTTTGTAGGAGCTGGGAGTCATTCCCAACTCGTAACTCTTCCTATCTTGTGTTCTAAGACTATAGTGGCTGCCATAGTACCGTTCGTTCAAACCGACGCTGTGTCGTCAATTCTTTATCAAATCGTGCAATCTAAATTGCTAATTGTAAACGACGTGAAGACGCTCCAGATCCAATTTGAATCAAGTCATTTGCAGCTGTGAGCAGAACGCTATCAACGTTTGAAGCCGCTGTGCAGAAATCCGTCTGTGCTCTCTATCTTTCGTTTTAGGCACATTCAAGCCTATTGTGACTATAACAAACCCTTCTTTCCTATGGCTCCCCTCCTTTTCTTCCACTCCCAGTCATTGCAGAATGAACATTTCTTTATCCTTTTTGTCATAACCCACTGATGTGTTCCATTCTGCCTTCCACTTGAAACCCGAAACCCGACTACTGATATGCCAGATCACCACCAGAAGTGGCACGCTATTGGCTGAAGTAGGTCGTGACTTGATGAATCTAGAACTTACTAACCAGACATACTATGTGCGAATCTTGCCGAATGTGGACATGGCGATGGTTCTAGCTCTGGTTGTTTTGGCGGTCACTATGTTTGTTCACCACGAAGGGTCCGACACTCAAAGTACTGGCGACGTTCGCGGTCACTGTACAGTGACATTCTGAGACTACTCAGAGATTTTGCTAGGATGCGAGTGTTGGGCTAGCGTTTTGGTCGGGTTCTTCAATAGCTTTTTACTATGCAGAAGAGTATATTATTATGATGTCAAATACAAAGAAATACCTCTTTAGGCAAATGAGAATTCACAAAGTTTGCGTGGAGCTGTAGGTGTACGGTGTACCCACCCACACGGACATGTGCCTTGAGGGTAGGTGAACGCGCTTTGTCGCAAGTCCAACTTATCTCAGCGAGTAGTTCCTACCGTGCACATAACTTGACCAAACACTACTTGAGAGAGGCATGCTCCTCATGGCAGCACATCAGTGGCAGCGTCCGTACAGGTCGCAAGCTGCTCGTGTCCAGGAAACGTGGTGGTGACACCCTGGTCTTGAAAATGGCCAACACCCACCAAGTTCCTGGAGAATGAGGGAATATGCAGACTGGTAAAGGAGTGGGAGCGGAGGGGGCCGCTAGACACGGGAGCGTAGTGGCACTGTGCGCAACGACCGGTCCAGAGGAGGTGTCGGCCGGTGCAACAGCGACGGGGGCTCGAAGAGGCGTAAGGCTGGCGCGGTCGCGTAAGAAGCACTGAGAGGCGCCAGAGTCGGGCGCGGCGGCCGCTGAGGTCACACCTGTACTAGTAAATAGTAGAAGATCCTACACATGCATCAGAAGATCCTACAAGTGTATCAGGTACATATCCTAGACTAGAAGCATACGAATAATAGGGTGCTAGAATCTGCAGGTAGGAAATGGTCAGGCCCTCAGATTCACTTTTAGGCACGTAAGGGTATCAGGGTCCCTCTGCCCCTAGACCCAGATCGTCAGGGTCGCCTAAAAAAAAAGCCTGAAAGTTCAGTGTTACTTTTTAAAAAAGTCTGATGCATCAGTGTTCCCTACAGAAAAAGGCTGATCCTAATAGTCTTTATTTTAAGTTAAAAACACTAGGAAGGAAGCAAACAGCCTTCAATCTTTCAATCAATCTGTCTGTGTTGTAAACCAAAGCCTACGTTGCTATGCTATGCTAGCTAGCTAGCTATGCAATGCAAGGCATCAAGCAAGCATGACATGTCTCAGGGTCTGGGAGAGTTCAGTTCAGTAATCATCATCAGATGATGCTTGCCTGTCATCATCATCTCTTCCCGGCGCCTCTCCTTCTTCCAACTCCTCCTCCTCTAGGGCCACCTTTCCCTTGCTACCACTGCCCTCCCCCTCTCTTGCTGGTGGTGCCGCCACATTCCCTAATGGGCGGCGCTTCTTGTAGGTGCGCCAAATCTGCACCACCTCATCGTAGTTGGGCTCGTACTCGAGTAGAGACATCGTGATGAGGTCTTCGAGGCGGGCGTCCTTCAAGCTCCCCCGCTGCCACGATCTGATAACGTTCTGGCGTGAGAAGCCGCGCTCACACTCCACTGTGCTCAGCGGCAGCACGGCGACAGCCACCAGAGACGCACCAGATTGGGGTAGCTAGTCGCCCAGTCGCTTGTCTTGAGTATTGCTGTTAGGCCGGCGTGGAAGCTGCGCTCGTTCTTCGGGGCACCTGCGAGGATGGGGCAGAAGGCACGCAACTCCTTGATCGCACGCCACTTGTCGACCCCTGCCACATAAGGCGGAAGGGAGAGAGAGGGGGGATTAGAAAGGCTGGCATACTCGTACACCATACAGTGATAACATGCAATAACCCATCATCACGGACAGCAACAGTGCGAGAGCGGGAATACCTGGAATGATGTAGTCCGTGTCCTGTGCCTTGAACAGCCTCACGAGAGACTCGAGCCACTCGAGACACTGCCTGTGGCGCTCCGCTCTCCCCGGCTCCCACTTGTCAGGCATGAACAGCCGCACTCCCACCAGGGAGTCCAGGTCCTTGAAGCGTGTGCTGAGGTTTCGCACGAGCGTCTCGGCGAAGGTGGTGCAGAGATCGACGCAGGCGTCGTGGGAGCCGAGGGTCGGGTAGACTTCGCTCGGGTTCTCGTGCAGCTAGAAGGTGTGTGTAGTGGGCCGACCGTCCGAGTCGACTCCCTGCACCTTTACCTTGGGATTTCCCCCCTCAGGCCCGTGCTTCTTGATGAACGGGGAGAGGCGCGCGCTCACCCCGCCTCCAAAGTCATCACCACAGTCGACGTAGCGGGACTCGAGGAATGAAATAGACCGGCGGATCTGCCCGTGGACACTTGCAATGTCCAGCTGTTAGGGATCAACAGTGCGAAAAGATTATGGAAGCAAGGCCAAATCAGTGCAATGTCGCTTCTAGTTAAGCAGTACATCAAACCGTGAAGCCCAAACGGAAACTAGGCACACAATCCAGCGTTTATAGGAACCATGCTCACCTCACGCTGCTGGAATGCCCTGTTCAGCACATTGAGCTGCTCGAGCACGTCTGCAAGGAAGTATAACAGAAAGTGAAACATGTAGCTGGTGGCAAGCTCGTACAGGCTGCTGTCCCACTCATACAGCATCACGATCAGCGCGGGGAAGACCTCTACCGCGCGCAGAATGGCGTCACCCTGGGAGAGCCAGCGGACGTCGTGGATCCCTTGTAGCTCCAGGTTAGTTCTCGTGAAGACCTCCTCCAGGCCAATAAACCGTTGATGCCACGGGCCAGAACGCCCCAAATGCTCGGCCACTTGGCGGAGCAGGGCGTCCACCATGGCGAACTCGGGGAGTGACTCAGCGGCGTCCTTTGCTGCGAGCGCCTCCCTGCATGCACAACACCAATCAAACCGGCTCAAGGAGGGATTAGCACGGGGTGCTGCAGATACTCTAGGGATGTAGGAAACACAAGATAAAAACTGACATGTGGGCGATGCAGTGGCTCGAGACGAGATGCGGGATGCGGAGGCGAAGTCGCGCGACCAGGCCGTTGTGTTTCCCCATCATCACACTCGCTCCGTCAGTGCTCATGCCGGATATCCTCGCCAGTTCAATGCCAAGGGCCTGTAGGTGGGACAGGAGCACTGAAAGGAGAGAGGCTGCATCGCCCTTCTCCACGGTCAGCAGGGCAAGAAACTCAGTCACGGGACGATTGTCACGGATGAATGTTGCGAAAACAATCATATGCTTTCCCCGACACCTGTCCGTGCTTTCGTCGCATGTGACGCCAAGGTATGGGCTGCTAAGGATGTGCTGCAGTTGCGTTGTGTGCAACCATGTGGCCATCGACTGTGTCAGTTGCCCAAAGCCGTATCTGCAGCGCATGTCAAACAACACAATGTCAGAGAATTCATTTGATCTTCACAAGCACGGTTGCAATTAGAGTAAACCAAAACTTACGTCGTATAATAGGTTCCGTAGCCTTTAGCGGGGAAGCCTGGCACCTTAAGACGCACGAGGTAGCGCACAAGATTCACCCATAACTCTATGGGTGCATCTTGCTTGGTCACGAAGAGCAGGGAGTCGAGGAGCTTGATGACACGCTCCTTCTCCGTGTCGCGGGCGAGATTGTCGCTGTTGATCCGTGGCTGCGAGGCTGCTTCGGCGAGGAGCTTCTCCTAGTGTTTAAACGCCTCCTTGTGCTTGGTTGTTGCCGCATGCCGTTTGAGCGCCTGCGTCTGAACGTCCGTGGCGCCCTTTCCGCCTCTCCCGCACGGTCTAGCGTAGCCTACGTGCTCCGTACAGATGCTGCACTTGAAAGCAGGGAAACCGTCGGCTTTTTTTAGCAAAATTAGCCACAAAAACCGATCTAGCCACTCGCTTTTGTACTTATACAGAGCCTCCGCGTAAGATGCGTCTGGCCCTGCCGGTTTAGAAGGCCCAGGTGTTGATGGCGACGCCTGCGTGCCTGCGGTCGCGGGCGTCGACCGATGGTCGGCTGGCGAAGACGGTGTTGCTTCAGCGGTACCTCCTTTCTTGCCCCACGTCAGCGTTGACTGCGTGTACCTGGCGGACTTCTTAGCCACTGGTACCGCCGCAGTGTCTTCAACTGAAGGGTTGGAGCTGTCTTGCTCCAACACGGGCGCAGTAGGGGAGGGACACAGAGGCTCGTCGATGGGTTCAAATGGAATATCGACGGGCAGCGCCTTTCCATGGTTATCAACTGCTGCTAAATTGGAGAACAGCAGATCCAGTCCGGTAACAGGAGCGGACAGATCAACAGGCGCACGACGATCGGCTTCATCGCCGTGGTCACCATTTTGTTCAATGGCGTCTGGGTGGTCCGCCATTGATTGCAGCTCGACCAAGCAGCATCTAACAGGACTAACGAGCTCGCCTAACGATAGAGGTTTGCGGGGAAGAGAGAACACACGGCTGACTGCCTCTTGGTACACAAGGCAGCAACGCGATGAAACCCCAAGCAGTTGGATGGAAGGCATGGAGCAGAACGGGATGTGAGGCTGGATGGCATGTAGCACGGGTGGGAGGCTGGATGCTTGCCAGCACGACCTAGACAGCCAGAATCCCTCGCAGCGCAGCCTGCCGGCATCGCTGTGCTGCAACCTTGTCATTGGTCAAGTCACATGATGTTGCAAATGTGGCCAATGAATGGACCAGGCGCGCCAACTAAGGGGCCATCAGTGTGGGCAAAATTGTCCGATAGTCAACGACATGCCCTGGTGACACCGCGGGAATCTGATTTTCCCAGTAGTTCCGGTCAAGTACACTCGTACCTAGTAGGATTCGCTTTCAGGGTCAAACTCGTTACAACGTAAAGGCATCAATGTCACTTAAAAAAAATTGCTGAAAGTTCAGAGTCATGTGGCATGTGAAGGCTGAAAAATCAGCCCTAGGAAATGGTGAATATTGGATTTTCAGGGTAGGTAAAAAAAAAACCCTGTAAATCAGGAATTTCAGGGTAAAATTCCTGATATCGTAGGGCCTGGAAATGGTGGACTAGGTAGCATGCATGAGTACAAGTACCTAACCCCCAAAGTGTTGTACTCCTTGTAGGCTAGCCCACTATAGCCTAGAGAGAACACAAACATACAGTTTGACACACCCCCATAGGCTAAGTGGGAGATAGCAAACACAACAGACGGTCACAAGACCAGTCAAGCAAGAGAACAAGCAAAGCAAAGCTCAGGGTGGATCTCAAGGACACCACACAATCTGAGCACAAGCAAGCGGCCACAAGGCCAGTTCACATGCAGAGTTATAATACCGTCAGCCCCTGGATAGAAACGCCCCTGGGGGTATAAAAAAACACTGTTTTTTAGGGGGTGCGCTTATAATTGAGGAATTTTATAAGCGACGGCGTTTATAAAATGGCAAACATGATTTTTTATTTGTTTTACACCAAACTGTAGATCTCGCTCTGCTGATTGTAATCGAGACGAAAACATATAGGGTCGCGAATCTGGTTCTCGCGCAGCTTGGCAGGGAGTGATTCTCTGCCAACTCATACTGACAGAATGACAGCACATGCTGACTAGACGCGCAAAAAGTGAGATCAGAGTGTGGAAAATCGAAATTGTAGTTCGTTCCCTGATAATGTGAGATTCGTTTCTGTATTTCGACAAGTTTTCAAATGAAAAACCACCATGCGCTTATAATAAATAATATTTTTTTAAGGGGTGGGCTTATAATCGAGGACCGGATATAAGCGCCGTCATTCTTTTATAAGCGCCGACGCTTATCCAAGGCCTGCGCTTCTATCCGGGGGCTTACGGTAGCAAGACAGTACACTGATCACAACCTAGCAAGAGTAAACAAGCAGGTATAATGATATATATCAGTGTACAACAAGAGCAAGTCAAGCAACCAGCAGGTGAGGCAGAGTGGGTACAAGCCCAAGAGCAGTGCAGAAGCGGTGATGATCACCAAACCCAAGGGCCTTGGTGAAAACATCAGCAGTTTTGGCCCGAAAGGCCACGAAAGCAAGGCGCAGCTGACCACGCTGCTGCAGCTCACGCGCAAGGAAGTAGCGAAGAGCAATGTGCTTCGTTCGGTGCTCCAGGCTCTGCTCGCGACACAAGGCAAGCATTCCCTTGTTGTCGATGTACAGAACTGGAGGAGAACGAGGCCGCTCCCCCAAGTCGGTCAGCAGGTAGGTCAGCCAGCGGAGCTCCTGTGCAACCATGGCCCCAGCGTAGATCTCGGCCTCACAGCTGGAACCAAGCACAGAAGAAGAACGAGTGGACCTCTACGAGACAGAACCAGAGCCAAGACTGAAGGTGTAACCCTGTGACGAACGCTGATTCGTCTGGTCGTCGGCCCAAGAAGCGTCAGAGTGTCCTGTAAGGACCACCGAACCCCGTCCTCCAAGCACGAGCCCCATGCCCGATGTGCTGCACAAGTAACGTAGTACCCTCTTCGCAGCATCAAAGTGCACCTTTCAGTGTCTGCCGGGTGCCACGTAGCAAGCCAGGAGGCTGAGAGGGTACGCGAGGTCAGGTCGTGTGCACGCATCAGGTACATGAGGCAACCCACAAGCTCTGGGTACAGACCACTCGGCTCTACGGACTCGTCCGAAGGTGGAGCTGAGAGCGAGTGGCCGGTAGACAGAGGAGCGGGCTGTGGCGAGGACCACATGAAGCGGAAGCGCTGAAGGACCTGCTGCACCATGTGTGACTGAGTGAGGGTGATGGTGCGCCGTGCTCTGTCCCGGGTGATCTGCAAACCAAGATAGCTCCGCAGCTCACCCAGGTCAGTGCAGGTGTGTCTCTCCTGCAGCTCCGCCTTCACTAGGGCTAGTGCCTCAGTGTCAGCAGTAGCAAAAACCAAGTCGTCGACGTACACGAGGATGTAGAGCGGCGGAAGAGTAGTGTCGGTGCGTAGAAACAGCGACGGGTCAGCAGTCGACGGAGCAAACCCAAGAGCCGCAAGTGTCGTCCTCAGTGTGTCGTGCCACTCGCGGGGCGCCTGACGCAGGCCGTACACTGGTCGCCGTAGGCTCCACTGGGTACCCTCAGGAAACGACCCAGTGAAGCCCTGTGGACGGCGCAACAAGATGGCCTCGTGAATTCTACCCTGCAAGAAAGCTGTCGAGAAGTCGAGGGAGTGCAGCTCGTAGTCACGCTGAGCTGCAACGTGTAGCAACACCCGAAGAGTGGTCATCTTCGGGGTGGGGGAGAAGGTCTGAAAGAAAGTCGACCCCCTCACGCTGACTGAAGCATCGAGCAATGTAACGTGCCTTGAAGGCAGGCGGGGAACCCGGCGGCCGCTTCACCCTGAAAATCCACATGCCACTAACGATGTTCGCCCCAGGTGGGGGAACCTCGTCGACGTAGGTGCCTGTGGACTTCCAGGAAGCCATCTCTGCGTCCATGGCTGTCTGCCACTGAGAGGAGTACTCACCCGAAATCGCCTCCCTGTAGGAGCGCGGGGTGGGGATGTCAAGTGCATCCGGGTCTCCCTCAGGGGCAAGCAGCATGGTCGTGTGATGGGGTGAAGCGGCCGCAAGGCACTCCAGCTCCTCCTATCTGTCCTCAAGAACGTCACAGCCAAGGGCAGTACAGCCAAGGGCAGTCTCACCCCCGACGGACGGAGGACAGGCAGGGACAGGGTCAGAGACAAGACTCGCAAGGTAGTCTAGGCGGTACACAGCAGCAAAGTCAACGAGCTCAGCGACTAAGGCAGACGCAGCAGGAGACGAGAACGTAGGGTCTGTAACAACCGTAGCAAGGAAGCGAGTAACAGTCGGACTGGACGCACAAGCAAGGTCAGACGGAGGGTCAGCAACGTCAGGAAGTGAGGACGCAGGAGGGAACGGTAGGACAACACGCTGTGGAACAGAGGAAGGACAGAGTGTCATATCGTGAGTGCCGGGGACAGCCGGAGCACGCGGACGACGAACACGAGGAACACGAGCACGGACAGCAGCTCTAGGCTCAGGCTCAAGGTCAAAGCTAGACTCAGGCTCTCGACGCTCAGGGGTGGAAGCACGAGTCTCAGGCTCTCGACGCTCAGTCAGGGAATGTGTTACCGCAGTGTAAGGAGCAGGAGCAGGCAGTGGGGAGTGCGGTAGTAGCTGTGACTGTGACTGGTCTGCCGGTGGAAACAGCAACGGGGGAGTAGTACCTGCCACAGGGAAGTCAGTAGCACCGGGCGGAAGACTGAGAAGGTGGCGAAGAGCACGAGCAGCTCTCGTACCTCCAGCACGAGCAGCTCCTCCAGTACCCCTAGCAACACCTCCAGCACCAGTAGCACCAGCACCTCCAACACCACGAGCTCCGACAGCGCCAGCACCTCGAGCACCAGTAGTACCTCCAGCACCTCCAGTGCCTCCAGCTCCAGCTCCAGCGCCTCCAGCACCAGTAGTACCTCCAGTAGCTCCCGTGTCAGCAGCTCCAGTAGCACCTCCAGCACCTCTAGCACCAGCAGCACCACCTGCTCCGGCAGCTCCAGCACCTCCAGTACGAGCACCTCCAGGACCAGTAGCTCCAGCACCTCCAGTACCTCCAGCTCCAACGCCTCCAGCACCAGCAGCACCAGCACCTCCAGGGTCAGTAGCTCCCGCAGCTCCAGCACCAGTAGCACCAGCACCTCCAGTGCCAGCAGCTCCAGCACCCCCAGCACCTCCAGTAACAGTAGTACCTCCAGCACCAGCAGCTCCAGTACCTCCAGCTCCAGTACCTCCAGCACCGGCAGCACCTCCAGTACTAGCAGCACCTCCAGCACCTCCAGGCCTAGCGTCTCCAGTACCTCCAGCACCAGCAGCACCTCTAGTACCTCCAGTAGTACCTCCAGCACCTCCAGTACCAGCAGCACCTCCTGGACTAGTAGCTCCAGCACCAGCAGGACCGTACCCTCCACCACCAGGACTGCCTCACCGAACGACCCACGCACGAATCGCCTGTGGCGAGAGCGTCTCAAGTAGAGAAGGCTGCGGTGGCTGTCCAGCTCCAGTACCTCCAGTAGTGGTAGCTCTAGCACCTCCAGCACCAGAAGCACCTCTAGTACCTCCAGCTCCAGCACCTCCAGCACCAGCAGCAGCTCCAGTACCTCCAGCACCTGTAGTACCTCTAGTACCTCCAGTAGTACCTCCAGGCCTAGTAGCTCCATTACCTCCAGCTCCAGGACCTCTAGAAGGACTCGCAGCACCCCCAGAGTCAGCACCCGAAGTCTCAGCACCCCCACAGTCAGCACCCAAAGTCTCAGTACCCCCAGGCTCAGTACCCTCAGGCTCAGTATCCTCAGTCCCAGCACCCGCAGGCTCAGTGCCCTCAGTCCCAGCACCCGCAGGCTCAGTACTCTTAGTCCCAGAACCCGCACGCTCAATACCCTC